GCCGTGCCCGAGAAGCGCAGCACCTTGTCCTGGGGCGCCTTCGAGGACCGCTTCTCCGCGCTCGGGGCAGGCCGCGCGGCCTCCACCGCCCGCCTCGACGACGACGCCCCGCGGCGACGACGCGGCGACGACGCCCGTCGGAGAAACCAAACCGATAGACGACGACGACGACGACGAGGACGACGAAGACAGCGAGGCCGACGACGCGGCGACGACGCTCGTCGGAAAAGACAACTCCATAGACGACGAGGACGACGAGGACGACGAGGACAGCGAGGCCGACGACGCGACGACGACGCTCGTCGGAGAAGACAACTCGATAGACGACGACGACGACGAGGACGACGAGGACAGCGAGGCCGACGACGCGGCGACGACGCTCGTCGGATAAGACAACTCGATAGACGACGACGACGACGACGAGGACGACGAGGACAGCGAGGCCGACGACGCGGCGGATAAGACAACTCGATAGACGACGACGACGACGACGAGAAGACAACGACGACGACGACGACGAGGACAGCGAGGCCGACGCGGCGACGACGCTCGTCGGAGAAGACAACTCGATAGACGACGACGACGACGAGGACGACGAGGACAGCGAGGCCGACGACGCGGCGACGACGCTCGTCGGAGAAGACAACTCGATAGACGACGAGGACGACGAGGACAGCGAGGCCGACGACGCGGCGACGACGCTCGTCGGAGAAGACAACTCGATAGACGAGGACGACGACGAGGACGACGAGGACAGCGAGGCCGACGACGCGGCGACGACGCTCGTCGGAGAAGACAACTCGATAGACGACGACGACGACGACGACGACGAGGACGACGAGGACAGCGAGGCCGACGATGCGGCGACGACGCTCGTCGGAGAAGACAACTCGATAGACGACGACGACGAGGACGACGAGGACAGCGAGGCCGACGCCGCGGCGACGACGCTCGTCGGAGAAGACAAATCGGTACAGCATACACCTTCGGAGGTCCGAGTTGATTACCTGGATCGGCGCTGGATATCCCGCCCTCGCGCGCGGAGCGCGCCAGGGGCGGGCCCAGAGGTCCCGCAAGGGGGTTCCAGCACCGATCCAAAAAATCCGCGCGGACCTTCGAATTTCTATGTTCTGAGCGTTCCCAACCGATCGCCTTTAGGGCCACTACTCTAAATTGGCTCAGTAGGCGCCAGTTTGTAATTACAGTTACGGGGGGTGGGCATTCACTCAGAGAGACGAAAGTACGAGATTCAGACATTCTGTGTCGGGGACTCCCCAGTAATTCTCCATGTGCGATTTCAACAAATTCCGTGTGGGACTTCCTCAACATTTTTTCCGCGCTGGGAATTCCCCCACGATATCCGAGTAATTGAGCCAGAAGTTCAAAACATGAATCTCGCACATTGTGTGTCACGCCTTATGTTTTTTTGTGGTCTGTTTCTTACATAGTTTTCCATGTCCCATAGAAGGGGGCGATCGATCGGGAGTCTTCAGATGTTATTGTGTCTGTTCGTCTTTTAGCTCGGAGCAGGCCTTGGTCGGAGGGACGACGTCGCCAGCCTGGAGCAGGACTCGGAGGGCGTCAACACCACACCCACACCGGTGCCAGGCCAGGCCCATCCCTGGGCCAGTGATCGGTGCGCGGTGCCCTCCTCACCAATGTCAGGAGGGCGTGCGCTCCGATCCTGGGTCCAGGATGGCCCTGTTCAGGGCGCTCCGTGGCCCCGTTTGAGACCGACCCCTGGACCGGGACACCCCCCGGTGGTCCATGTTGAGGGTATTCTGTTTCTCTGGGTCGAGTTCTGACGGTCCCGGGGCCGAAGGTGGTCGCCAGAGTCGGGGAAGGGAAAGGGGTGGGTGATAATCCAGGAGGGGACATCATGGCCGTGGCCATGACATGCCCCTGATGTCCTGGCTCTTTCTTGCAGTGCGCACCTTGACCCGTCCTCGTCCGCGCAGATGTCTCGGGCCACGGTGCGCTAACCCCCCCTTTCCTGGCCCCACTCTTCGGTGCGCCAGAGAAGTTGATCAGAGGCGGCAAAGAGGGGGGGATGACTGCAGGGGATGTCATGGCTCTAGGCCTCCTAGATGGGGTCGCAGTAGATGGGCTCAGAGGATCGCGCCGCATCGCCGATGCATCATCGATGCGGGGCGACGCAGAGCACGATTATCTCCACTCCAACGTGCCCGATACGCCGCCGACGTCGCCGACGCATCGGCGATGCATCGGCGATGCATCGTCGATGTATCGGCGATGCATCGGCGATGCGGCGCGATCCTCCGACCCCATCTATTCGGACCCCATCTGGGAGGCCTCTAGTGGCGGGGGCCGTGCTGTCTCCCCAGATCTCATGGCGCCTCTTCCTGCTTCCGCACGTCCCCGGCACCCCTCCCCTGGGCCGCGCGCGTGCCGCCGGCCCGTGGGACGCCCCCCTCTTGGCCGCCCCCCAGCAGAAGTGGTGGGGCGCCTGCGGAGGCGGGCCCCCTCTGCCCTTTGCCCCTTTGGTCAGGTCGGGCATGCCCCACTGCAGGCGGATTTGGGACGGAGCATAAAAGATAGTCAAGACACAACCCAAATTAATTCAAGCATAGCAAAAAGATCGTCCCCATACTATTTTTGGACTACTTTTGAACGTTCCTCCTGTAGAGGGACGCCCCTGACCTAACCCTTCGGGCCCGCCGCCCGGCAGAGGGAAGACCTCGATCCTCGAACCCCGAGCGGCCGGCGCAGAGTGGGAGCCCATGCCACGAAGCACCCTGCTTGCCTCGAGGGTGCCCTGGGCTTCTTGGGTTTCGACGGTGATGCGCTGGGCAGCATGACGTTCCCACAAACAATAAACACGTCCTGGGTCTCAGAGTCGGGTTTCTTGTGGAGGGTTTCTCCTGGAGTGGCCCCCGCTGCAGTTGTGCAGCCCGGCGTCCTCCCGCAGGACGAGGTGCCCTCGGAGTTTGGCGAGCTGGTGCAGATGTTCCACGACAAGGCGCAGCAGTGGGAGCCCAGGCGCGCGCCGCCGATCGTCGTCGATCTCCTCGTCGTAGTCGATCGCGTCGTCGATCGCGTCGTCGTCGTCGTCGTCGTCGTCGTTGTCTATCGATCGTTCGACGCTCGAGGCCCCGCGCGGCTCCGCCCCTCCCTCCTCGGGGCAGGAGGCGGAGCCCGTGGCTGCCTGGGAGGTGCCCCCCTCGTCCCGCCCCGGGGCCTCCGCCCCCCACTCCTGGAGTGTGGCTGGGAGGCCTCTGCCAGGCGAGTGCAAACATGGATCAACACACAGTCTGGGGTTCTGATGTTCCAACCTACTTTAGCCTTGGTCACCAGAATGACTTTCGAGCACTAAGAAACACCGCAAACATCTAAGCTTTTCACGTGTCGGGCCCTGGGAGACTTTCTTTCGACACTGTTTCGACACTCTTTCGACACTCTTTTGACACTTTTCTGGGTACTCGAGATTATTTCTGGGATGTGGTCCTTAAGTAGGATGGGAACAACATAAGTCTAGGGACGATGTTTTGAGTATTTGTTGAGACATGTTTGAGTATGTTTTGACTATTTTGTGTTCTTCGTCCACAAGCCGCCTGTAGGGGGACATGCCCGACCCAAGATCCACTCTGGAGTGTGGTTAGGACCCTGTCGGGCGATCGCACGCATGGATCAAGGGGGCGTGGATCAACGACGGGTCTCGCTTCCATGGGAAATCGCGGATTTCCGCCGCCGAGCGGGGCGGCACCGGCCGCATTTTGGGCAGGGCACCTCTCCCGATCCATGTTTGCGCGCCCCCGACCCCTGTCCCGCCCCGAGGCCTTCACCCCCATTCTGGAGTGTGCTTGGGGCCCTCTGGGGAGATCTCCCTCAGACTCGCGATGCCCTGATTCTTTCAATGCGCGGCCCCCAGAAGTCCTGGCCCTGTTCCCCAGCCAGTTTTTCATCCCGACTCGCTTTTCGTTGCGGTCCTGGGGCCCAGCGAGGGCCTCCCGAGGCCGGAAACGGCCACAAGAACAATGGGGATTCGGGGTCGCCGCGCAGTTTTCGGGACTCGGGTCTCTCTCCGAGCATGTCTCGGGCGATCTATCGGCGGTGCACCGCCCATTACAGCTCGGTGTTCCCCCCCCGCGGAGCAAGAGCGACGGAGCAACGGTGCTCTTCACCTGGCAGGGGGCCGAAAGAGAGACTGGCGCAGGCAAGGGCACGTCGACCTGGAATCGGCAGAACCTCGCCGATGCATCGGCGAGGCCCCCCCCAAAAGCCAACAGCGGCGCTCGCCTGGGCAGGGCGAGGCCTCCAGGGCCCCCTCCTCCGCCTCCTCCTCCCCCTCCTCCTCCGCCTCCTCCTCCTCCTCCTCCTCCTCCTCCTCCTCCCCTGCCTTTCTGCCTCTCGCGCTCCGACAGCGTCCAGCTGTCCCCCGGAGCGCGGAGCCCGCGCGGCGGCCCGACGGCATCGCGCGCGGTCTGACGACGGCGGCCCCGGGACCCCGGCCTCGAGGAGGGAAACGGGGGGACCGAGGACCATCTCTCTGAGGAGGGAGAGCAGGTTGACCCAAAAGGGGGCCCAGCGACAAGGGGGTGGTGCAGTAGATTTGGTGCAATAGATCTGTGGGGTGTGCAATACATTTGGGGCGTGCAATATACGTTCCGGGGCGCAAATGTATTCCTGGCTTTTCGCGTGTTATGCATTACTTGCAATACAATGCAATACAATTCTCCTGCGAAACACATTTGCAATACAATTGCCCCAAATCTATTGCACCACCCGCTTCAGCTGGACCCCCTTTTGGGTCACCCAGAGGAGAGCAGGGGAATAGGGTGGTAAATGTTTGGCTTTCTTCCGACAGCGGCGATAAATATGCTGTGATATTGCGAAGGTGGTATCATCCTGGCGAAGGGCCCCACCATTTGCAGTCGTGAGTACCGCAATTCTGAGGATCGCTTTCGGCTGAGCCACCTATGGGTCTACGAAACGTGTGAAAGGAGTGTGCCGAGATGGCGGGGAGCCGCATGCGAACCTTGCAACTGAGGCCTTCGGTGGGGCTCCTTATGAGGCCACGAAACGTGCGAGGGGTGTGCCGAAATGAACGGGGAGCCGCATACGAACCTTGCCACGGAAGCTTCGGTAGAGCTCCCTTTTGGGCCACGAAGCGTGTGACCGAAATGGACGGTGAGCCACATGCGAACCTTGGGGGCACGAAACGTGTGAGGGGTGTGCCGCATTTTTCGGAGAGTCGCATGCGAACCTTGCCATTGGGGCCGCTGGTGGAGCTTCCTATGGGGCCACGAAATGTGTGAGTGGTGTGCCGAAATGGGCGGGGAGCCACATGTGAGCCCTGCCGTTGGGGCCGTCCCCGAAATGCGTGAGGGGTGTCGCGAAAAGGGCGATGAGTCGCAGGCGAACCATGTCACTGGGGCATCCGGTGGAGCTCCCGATGGGGCCACGGCAGGCAGGGATGGGGAGGAGGGGGGAGCGGGAGGATGCAGGAGGAGTGACGAGTGGTGTTGTCTCTTCAAAACGAGGGCCACACACCACAGGATGAATGGATATACATGGGGACAGGGCGCGGGATAGAAGGAGACGGACGCAGAAGCGAGACATCTAAAAACAAGGTAGAAAACATGTATGTAGGTATACTCCCCAATCAGAGCTTGCCTCTGTAGGGGTCCTAGCGGATTTAAGGGTAGGTGAGGTTTGCCGCCGATTCCGTGGCCGGGCCCGGGTGCCCGGGTGCCCGGGTGCCTGGGTTCGCCGCCGATTCGGTGGCCGGGCCCGGGTGCCTGGGTGCCCGGGTGCCCGGGTGTTTGGGTTCGCCGCCGATTCGGTGGCCAGGCCCGGGTGCCCGGATGCCCCCGGATGCCCGGGTGCCCGGGTGCCCGGGTGACGGGTGCCCGGTGCCCGGGTGGGTGCCCGGGTGCCAGGTGCCGGGTGCCCGGGTGCCCGGTGCCCTGTAGCCCTATAGTTTTATAGCTTCATATCCCTATCGCCCTATAGCCCTATAGCCCTATAACCCATATAGCCATATAGCCATATAGCCCATATAGCGCCCAAGAGCCCATATAGCCCTGTAGCCCTGTAGCCCTACAGCCCTAAAAAGATTATGGTTGGGTTTTTTCTCTGATATCATGTTTACCTATATGTATATGGATAGATCGATACATAGATGGATAGAGAGATATACGGATAGAGGGGTACCGAGGGGGAGGTGAGAGAGAGGAGGAGGGAGTAAGAGACGGCGATATGGAGAGTGAAAATCAAAGCGGGAGTGCAAGAGTCTGAGAGAGAGAGAGAGAGCGAGAACCAGAGAGAGAGAGAGAGAGACACACGGAGAGACGGAGAGACGGACGGACGAAGGGAGCAAGAGAGAGAGGATGAGTGAAGCGAATGGAAGAAATAATGAACGAACAGACGGAGAGCCAAGAGAGAGAGAGAGAGAGAGAGAGTGAACGAAAGAGAGAGAGGACCAGAGAGCGATTTATCCTGGCGAAGGACCCAACCATGTGCAGTTGTGAGCAACGCATTTCTGAGGATTGTCCCCGGTGGAGCTCCCGATTGGGCCACGAAACGTGTGAGAGGTGTCCCGACATGGACATGCGGTGGGCAGGGAGCCGCATGCGAACCTTGCCACTGGGGCCGTCGGTGGAGCTCCCTATGGGGCCACGAAACGTGTGAAGGGTGTGCCGACATGGAGCATGCGGTGGGCGGGGAGCCGCAAGTACCTTGCCATTACGGCCTGCGGTGAAGCTCCTTATGGGACCACGGACCGTGTGAGGGGTGTGCCGAAATGGATACACGGTGGAGCCGCATGTGAACCATCCCATTGGGGACTTCGATGGAGCTCCCCATGGGGCCACGAAGCGTGTGAGGGGTGAGCCGAAGTCGACATGCGGTGGGCGGTGAGCCGCATGCTAACCTTGGGGCCTTCGGTGGAGCTCCCTGTGGGGCCACGAAACGTGTGAGGGGTTTGCCGATATGGACCTGCGGTGGGCGGGGACCGCATGAGAATTCTGCCGCTGGGGTCGTTCCTGGAGCTCCCCATGCCAATTTGCATTGAAGAAATTAAAGGAACAGCAGAAAGGAGAGAAGATGCTGACGATGAGGAGGGAGAGGATTAGGAGGGATGGAGGGGGAGAGGGGGAGAGGGGGAGCAGGAGGGAAAGGAAGAAGCGAAGAGAGAACGAGAAGAACACGGAGGACGGACAATGGGCATACTATACATGCGAAAGAAAACACGAACCCAGGCAAGAAGGAGGACGGACATACTAGACGCACTAAGGCAAACATACATTCGGGGGTGGGGTGGAACAACGCACACAAAATAGAAAGGACAGAGCATGCATAACACACATAAAACACAACAGCGTCAAATGACTTCCCGGACACAGGTAAACAAAAGCGCGGAATCAGTTGGCTTGCTTGTATTTTCCAGGGAGGCAACCAGTTGTTTCGTTACTTGTGCACGGGTTTTCGGTGGTGTTCCTTCTTGTCCTGTTTTTGTTTGTATGGTTTTGTTTGAAATTTCAAAATAAAATGCTCCCAATTCCCATGCATACTCTGAACACCAAAACACACACGCACACACGCACACACGCACACACGCACACACGCACACACGCACACACGCACACACGCAAACACGCACACGCACACACGCACACACGCACACGCACACCAACACCCACACCCACACCCACACCCACACCCACCCACACACACACACCCGCCCACCCCCACACACACACCAACACACACACCAACACACACACCAACACACACCAACACACACACACACACACCAACACACGAACACACACACACACCAACGCACACCAACACACAACAACACACCAACACACACCGACACGCACCAACACACACCAACACACCCCAACACACACCAACACACACCAACATACACACACACACACACACACACACGCACGCACGCACGCACGCACGCACGCACGCACGCACGCACGCACGCACGCACGCACGCACGCACGCACGCACGCACGCACGCA